TTACATGTCATAAAAAGATAACACTTAATATTTTCACACTGGCCAAAGCTTTTGCAGAAGCGGTGGATCCATCTCAACGGCGGTGGTATATTTGTCGCAGAAGCGGTGGATAAAATATGGCCGTTTATTGTTGTCGGTAAGTTTATGACTGAATTTTACTTTATTCTTAAATGTTTTACTGAAAACACCTGGTGAGACAAGAGCCCACATATGTACCCTTCCAATTAACACGCACACGGGGCAATTTATTGCCATTTGTGCAAACACTTCTGTACAGTTTGACGAGGGGACGCCCGTTTTGCCAAATTGTGCTTAAACCACGTACAAATGTGAGCAAAACTACCCCTAAGTACACCAGAAACACATCGTATGTATGACACTTGCACAAAACAACCATGTTTTGAAAAATTTGAAAATTGTTATTACCCTGCCAAACATTGAATATAACGCAGACGGAGGTGGATTCAATAGCAATGCAGTGTGGTGGGCCCCAGAGCATTGATGTCAATTTGGAGGGTTTAATTTGATATATGACACATTTTTCAGTAGAGTACAACATTTTTCTTTCTTTGACAGTAGACAAACGTGTTTATTTGATGTGTAAAACAATATATTTATATATACAAAATAGATGTCCGAGGTCGTCTTCCAGCTTCCTACAACTGAAAATTCTTTCGGCTGGTAATATCATAAATTGATCTTTGTTCAACATAGCGCGTTAAACAGCTTTAAAAATAGTAGACCAATAACCGCAATGGTTTTGTTATAAACCGTGCACGTCATACAGCGCTACATGTTTTACTATTAATTTATTTTGTATTTAATGGTGCACATTTTAGGGACATCTAACGATATCCCTTTCTCTGCCGTCATATCACCGCCTGGTTGGCTCCAAACGTATATTCAAGAAGCATGTTCTGTTAATCTTTACGAGTATCTCTTCGAATATGTTGGTTGTTGAATCTAGAGCATGCGATCTTTTTTCAAATCTGATCACAAAAAAATATTCTTCAGTAATGAAATGAAATAGTTTGTTGAACATAGACTACTCTATGGTAATACATCGGCCACGGAATTTTCTATAAAGGAAAATAGAATAGGACCTCGAACATCTAGTTTTTTATAAAATTCTATCGTTTGAAACACTAAACAAACACTTTTCTCTGATGTTAAAGTAAGAAAAAGGTTGCATTCCATTTAAAAGTGCGTCATATGTCGAGTTAAACCCTTACAATAGCCATAAATGGTACCGGCCCACCGCACTGCGTTGCAATTGCATCCACCTCCGTCTGCGTTGTTATCAATTTTGGGGAATAACAATTTATTAAGTAACATACATACGATGTGTTTTAACCAAAATTATACAAAAAGGCGTCTCTTCGGCAAACTGGGCAGAAGTGTTTGCAAAAATGGCAATAGATTGTACCGTGTGTGTATTATAAGTTAGAAGAGTACATATGTGGGTTCCCGGTTCAATTTAAAACATAAAGTAAAATTCAGTCATAACCCGACAAAGCAAACGGCCATATTTATCCACCGCTTCTGTGACGAATACCCTACCTCTGTTGCGATGATCCAACGCTTCTGCGAAAGTTTTGGCCAGTGTGAAAATATAAAGTGTTATCTTTTTATGACATGTAAATGCTTGTAAATGATTAACATTTATTACTGTTTGTTTAATGATAAAGCGTGGTTTCACTGACGTTTCAAATAAATACATGTATTAAACAGGGCAAATACCTTACAAATCAATCATTTTTGTATGATAAAATAGGCTTTAGTTTGCAAAAGATATATGTAGGCTTTAGCTATCAATAAATTTTATGTGGTACTTATCTGAAAACAGCTATCCCATGTATCCTTGAAGATGAAAATTGATAAAGGTGATTTATTGTGCATTGACATAAACGGGGAAATATTAATACTTAAAGATAAAAGATATGTTTGATGCGTCATGGCAGGGATAAAAACTAACCATATAAGTTTGGTGGCCACCTGGACCACTGACTGTAAATTTGGGGTGGCTCTATAAATATTTTAGTGGACCAATATTATAGAATTATACTAAATTACAAATTCTAACACGCTTCACATTATTTCCCTATCAAACAGATAGGGCAATCGATTCAATATATTCACAAAAATAACAAACACATGCTTAAAAGTCGTATGACGTCAGACATGACATCAAAAAACCAAATGACGTTAAGACATTTACTTCTTTGCTCAAATAAGTTCAACATATTTTATCAATTCTCTTTTTATTAGCATGTTAAGATTGAAATAGGTATTAGTTTTTCTTGCATTGTAGTATAATATTGCACAGTTTATCGTTAAATGCTGTGTAATTCATCACTCAGGCCAGCCTAATCTCCCTACAAATTATGATCAAACACAGCAATAATCAAAGCACAGAAGGCGTTGACTTTGTTTGGGTCTCAGAATGTCAGAAAGGTGAAGGTTGTGAGATTAAAAACCAATTTGTTTTTGTATAGTGCCACAAATGCTGTTTCCAGTGTTATAACTGTAGTAAATTGGCTATGTGGCTAATTGCAACACTGATATTCAATTCAATGGTTATTTGGCTTAAACAATTTTTTAAAAAACAATTAAAAAACAACAACAAAAAACAAAAAAATCATGAGTTGCCTTAACTGGGATTTGAACTCCACTAAACGAGCATGTAACCCCTCGACCACGGGAAAGTTATAAAATAACAGCCTGAAGAAAACATTATTATTCTCAATTAGGGTTTGTAACCCTTATTAATTTCGAGATGTTTTGTTCACGGTAAACCTGTTGTTTAACACTGATGTAAATAATCATGGAGCTTAATTTAAGCATGTTTATCTGTAAAGAATTACACAATATTAGAAATCTTCGACCAATCGGGAACTATTTTTTCTTCCCCAAGAAGGCTTGAAAATTAATGCGCCTGTCATTTGACAATCTTTACACAGTGATCTCCCCTTAATTTTTCGGAGTTAGTGTACTTATAAAGGGAAGTAACCGCTTCGATGAGTTCGGACTACTTTTGGATTTTTCAAATAAGCATATCAGGATCTGAAATTTCGCTACCATTATTTGTATGGACTGACGACCCAAAAAAATAAAAATGCCCCACAATACATGTGTTCAATAAGTTACATTATAAACTACAAACACTCAAGCAAAAAAATTAACTTCATAGCATCTTATCCACATAACATTTCAACTTAAACCAAAACAACCAATGTGTATAGATATCTTCAAAACCAAAGCATAATCTGTGAAAATAATGACAAGACAAAATAGCCCAATACAACTCAACTAACATCAACCAATAAAATATAACTCAGCAACCAAATACGATTTATCAACCAAATGCAAATAAATACAACCAATAAACCCAGATCGATAAGATCATCACAATTAAATTCAATCACACACAATTCAGAGAGAACAGGAAAACATTTTGAAATATGCCTCCGTTACCGAGTTCGGATGGTTATTACGCATTACGTATATAAATGAAAATAAATATTTACTTAGCTTTGTAGTAACCATATTCAAATTTAATCCATCGACATATTTCGGCTTTTAAAACATTTTGATAGTGAGCGCAAAGCATGTACCCTGTACTCAGCCCTCTGTACACTTTCGTACTGCATTCTTTCGCAACCAGTTTACAATTTACTTGCCAAAACCTTTCTTTCGTAATGCATCTTTAAAACATTAAACGAAATGGCTTTGATCATGTGAACATTGTCGTATTCAGTTAATTGAATTTGATATTAATTTGAAAATTTCACATTTGTGAAGTAAGGAAAGATTTTACTCAAAAGCAAGGCATATAATATGCAGTTGTATATTTATGCTACTTTCCAAATGCTTTTTGTAACCGATTTATCCTTTTATTATCTGATATAACATAGAACACGATGTCTGTCCCGGTGTGCTGTTCAGAGGTTGCTTGTTGATTAGAACAAACAGAAATGACGCTTCGCTTTTTTTAAATTATATTTTTCATCGGGTTTTAACCAAGGCGGGTTATCTGTTTTCTGTGTATTTGCTAAAAATGTTCGGGGCTTGTCGCTTATGCACTTTAATTTGTTCGATTATTTTTATGACCTCTGCATTGAAGTAATCATTTTTGCCTGACTTATATAAAAACTCTCTGTATATATCGCAATAAAACTGTAACATATAGTTATCGTGCTTTAAAAACTAATAATCCATTCATTTCACAACAAAATGAATGGAACACATTGTTAAAATTATTTACAGCTTGACATTATTTTTTTGTCCAATAGAATTGCAATATTTCAAACAAATCGTAAAACATTTACTCTGGTAAATTGACAAACTGTAAATCAGTCCAGTAAATCGAATGTTTATTAAAATAATTTAAAACACTAAGCTGGTTGAAATTATTTAGTACGTATTTACAAAATTAAATTGGTTGCGCGGCTGCTCCGCACCTGACCAATTTAATTTTGTAAATACGTTATAATAAACTTTAACCTATACATAACTGTTGCAGTTTCTATTTTCACTGCAAACTGATAATGGATAATGTTCGCACTGTGATTATAAACATTTAAAATAATGGCCAACGCAAGATATGATCCCACTAAATTTTAAACAGTAAAATGTATTAATTGTTTCTATAGATGAATTTGACTTTTTCTAAAACAAAAACTTATAATTGAAGGTTCTGACACATAATCATGATGGAATTATGCGTTTAGCAATATTATTGATCCTTGATTTTTTTTATTGATTTTTGTAATTGACAAGTTCCGTACAAAAAAGTTAATTGGCAGTGCGCTGTATGGTAAGTCTACTGACACCAATGCTATAAATTGTTCACAGTAAATTTCATTTTTGCTTTGTTTAAATGTGTTGCCTTCTTTTTGTTGAAAGATAATTACAAACCCATTTACATGCTTTACAAAATGTTAAATTAATTTCTGAAATCTAACAAGTCAAACAAATTAATAAAAAACAATAAAACTCACGTTGCTGCTGCTTTCCTCAGCCATTTTTAACGCCGTGGTAATTCAGCCAGAAGGTAAAATTGAAATGCGACAAAGGATGTCGCACGATAAGCGGATCAATCGGCGTTTACCTACTTTTGATTGGACGGATTACTTGTATAACAACGCCTTCGAATCCTAAAAGCTATACTATCCTACATCAATATTCCTGTTAGGTGTAATATAACATAAGAAAATAGTAACTATCAAGAGACTCACAAAAATGGGAGGAAAGGTAAGTTCAATTTAAGTATGGTTACAAAAGTTGTAAATTGTTTCATTTTTTACTGAATTTCGTTACGTATATACTTAAATACGTTTTTCCAAATTCAAAAGTTTTGTCAAAACAGATATGAACTTTATTGCACTTTATTTAAATGTTTATCATCAACATAATTATTACACACTTTTGAAACATGTGCTACATAATAGTTTATAAAAATAATGTGGCAAAACAAAAAAAATTAAGGTAAAGAGGATTCTAAAATATTGAATCTGAACTTTTAAAATCAAAGAACGTGAAAAATAAAGTGAAAATATTTCACTTCAGATATTGAATATTTCTAGAGTTTTTGAAGTACTTAAACATAGTTTGTTAAATATTTTGAAAAATAGTGTACTTTGAAGTTTAGTAATGGAACTTTATAAGAGAATCTGACATTTAAGTATTGTAAATTATCCCCTAAAATTACAAATATTATTAAAAGTTTCGGAAAAGGAAAAGGTCGGAAAAAAATCATAAAACAAGGACGTCGGCAACCCCATCCCCGGTGGATCTGTGCCTGTTTTTCTATACTTAATATTCTTTATGAGCATTTTGTCAGAGAATGTCTACAGCTTTGCTATTATGTATTACTTTTTTACCTAGAATGGGAAACGCGCGAATTCAAATAGTTCTTTAGTCGATTAAGTAAAAAGTTTTTATTGTCCTACTTTATCTTCGACTTTACTTAATATTAGCAATATACAATATTATTACGAATATGAACTTCAATCATTCTTTATTATTCACACAACTTAATTATTTTAAAACTAAAACTGAAACACGGACTCTTTCACTATAAAAATACATGTATGTGGTTATCAAGATTTAATGTGTGCATTAATTGTTTGAGTGTTATTTGACACGGACCATATAAATAATTGTCTCTTCTTAAATTCTATCTGTATACGTTGCATATATCCTTGGTCTGTCGCAAAAGCAATGTAATAAATCGGAACAATTTACGGAAACTATCGAAGAACATTCCAAATATTATGCATTGTCCTTGGTTGATACACAGGGGCTTCTGTCATTTTTTTTCTTTTCCAACTATATTATATGTTATTTTATTACCCTTCCAGATTTTTTCCGCCTTTTTGATTGGCTATTGATCACCCGAAAGAAATTGATATAACCGAGCCAGACGGGTAATATACACACTAAATTTCCCCGTTGGGTACCCAACATTGTAAACAACATGCGCTGAGGTGATGCGCGTACGGTTCGATTTTACGGGGTGTAAATTCCGATTTACAAGCACTTTTAACTGTCAAATGATAAATATTTACCAAAGTAGAGTAATGATAAATATTCCCATCAGTATTGAAAACAAATATAACCTTGTAAAAGCTTGATATTAATTACAAAAAAGTGCGTTCAATAGACTACTCCTTTTCTTTTGTTTACATTCGTTAGGTACGGGAAAATACCTCACGTATTTATGTGACAGTTAAAAAGTGCTTTTAAATCGGAATTTACACCGCGTAAAATCGAACCGTACGCGCAACACCTCAGCGCATGTTGTTTACAACATTGGGTACCCAACGGGGAAATTTATTGTGTATATTACCCGTCTGGCTCAATTATATAAATTTCTTTCGTGTGATCAATATCCAATCAAAAAGGCGGAAAAAATCTGGAAGGGTAATAAACATGTATATATAATATACATATTATAACAAAGGATACAACTCAAAATTGTTAAATTCATGAAAAAGTAAATAGAACACAGTATAAGACAGGTTTTTTGAATGTTGGACATTCATGAAAGAATTGATAACTTCAAAAAAGCCTCACTTTGATACATGGACAAAATATTATAAAAAATAATCTTTCGTGTTTTATTTTCATACATGTTGTAAAATTACACACGTAAAACGATATCTTATGCAGACGTAAAAACATATGAGAAAGTTTAATTATGTTATCGGTTAAATATAAATCACCCACCACCATCAGTGATGCAATCATTATTTTTTGGTACAAATTATTCTAACAATTTTGTTTGTTTTGGAAATTTCTATCCCCGGCTTCCATTTTGAATGTTGCCCGTATTTTCCGTGTGTAAACCAAACTTCTATCAGTGACTGTCAGTTTCATTTCTAATGAATAAAAAATAATAATTCGGATAACAATGGTGTATAACCGCGGCGAACAGCGGTTTTTTATCAGCCAATGAAAATACTCGACACATAAACGCACCTGCATAATGGGCGACAATCTGACAGACAAGGGGGGGGGGGAACTTAAAAATGAGAAATTGTAGTTCAGTGTGGCCATAAACATAATTTCAAATATTTCAGAAACTGTTACGCAGGCAGAAAACCAGTTGCTAAAATGTTGAGTTCCACGTAAAAACCTAGAAATATTGCTTATTTCCTACACACATACAAGAGAGAATTACAATGACAGAAAAATATCAAAAGTTTTCAGTACCTTCAAAACACCATGTTTGTGTTATTAATAAACCTGACCGTGGCCATCGTACAAATATGTTCCCGGCCCTCGAAAGTAAATCTTGAAATGTAAGTTATTCCTTTCCTGCAATCTACCATGTTTTAATGAAGCGTTTGTTGAAGAACTTGGGTAATGACCAGTTCACATACTAACTTCTACAATAACTTTGATGGAAGAGAGGATAATTTATGTAGTTCACATGTGTGAATGCATTTTACGAAACCGTGTTGATAATGCAAGGCCACGATTTGTATCCCTTGTTATATATATAATCAAATAAGGACAGATTCACTGTGGGCGGATGTTGCCAAACAATATGTCATCTCTGACAATCAGAGTCAATCATTATTTATAACAGAATAGCGCTGCGCAAATTCAGTCTCTATGAAATGATTGTGATAGTAAGCTACGCTGTTTGTAACATTGAGCAAAGTCATTTTGTTTAACGTTTCTTTTTTAAGGGGTCAAAAATATTTTCACACGAAGAAATGATCGAAGAAATGAGACCAACGTTAGATTCCCTGACAGAAAGAGACAGACGTCTATTTGACCATGCAGTATGTGAAGTGTGCAGAGAGTCAGGAAAGTTGAACCTAAAGAGTTTTCGAATTTCAATCAATTTTAAAGATATCGATGCCGTCAGTTGCGAATCTGAGGAAAATCCAAAAAGTCTGCTTGCAATTTCTTATGATGGATATGGCAGACCTCAATCTATTTGGGAAAGGGAAAGCAAAACACGAATTGTCTATCGACTGATGAACAGAATGGCTGAGGATTTTTTACAATGGTTAAAGGAATTTACACTTCAGTTAGCTGGTAGTACAAACAGAATGATTACACAGCATTAGATTTTTATCGAAACGCTTACAAGTTACATAACTTAGAATTAGTGATAGTACCCGTTTATACTTTTTATATAATTATATTTATTTCTTTTTATTATTCTTTGTCTAGCCTATGTGTTATACTGTTAACATTTACCATATATATACTGATTGGCAAGGTTTCTTCAATTTTAACATATGTGTTCTATAACTTCTCTTAACGAATAAACAAATGGCATCTGTGTGAAATTACAAGATATGAATAAACATACAAGTAGTATTTTTGACATATCACAATGTCTAATCAAAGCGCTGAGAGCACTACTGTGACGCAATTTATAGCAAAAAAATGTAGAACTGTCCATGTCAGCTGTTACAATGTGATGTCATTACTTCTTTCAAAGCAGACTAAGTCGCATTTTTTGTAGACATTATGAAATGCCTTGAAACTCTTGTAAAACTTTGAAATCTTGACTGAGAGCATACTAACAAACCCAGCCAAAATTTATGGTTGATACCATATGTACCATAGAATAAATATTTCAACATATGACATTGGAATTAGTTGAGAAACGGTATGTTGTCATATTAGGTTGAAACTTTTCTTTTAACCAATTTCCTTGAAAGGGACGTCCATATGCGAGTAGATGTGTATAATGAGTGTCATTACATGCTGCTTGCTCTTGAAAGTACGTATTTCAGAATTTTTCTTGTACATTTTATAGCAAAAGTCCCTGATATGTTGGCATAAATACAAATGTAGTACCTTAACATATCTTACTTATCTTAATCATCTGGTTTTGCCTCATGATAGGTTCAATTGTATGCTCAAATTTTTGTCTTAAAAACGTCATGATTTTCTGTAACTTTACACTCACATTTTATGGCCCTTTACATTTATAGTGTCATATTAATGTATCTTTATATTGATTCACTTCACAGTCTCATCTGCAGTGTATTTTTGTATGAGAACTAAAAGTTACTGATAAATATTTGTTCAGCAAGTATGCCTCAAAACACTTTATTTACTACACCTTAAACATATGATTTGATAGTTGCTAAGCTCGTAACGTTATTATCTGAATATTAAGAAACTTATCATATTTCACAAAATGTTCTGAAGTAAATTAAACTTTGCTTGGCAAACATACTTATCCCTTTTTTACTATCATTTGTATATTGTTTCTGAAATGATAACAGTTCAGTCATTATTCTGTTTAAAAACTACATAAATTAATTTTATCCCACCATTGTTTTGTCTTTTATAACGTATTTCTGTTAAAAATAATTATGGTTGACTCTCTCTTGGTCAAAGATAGACACGTTACCACATACAGTAAGTATGATTAAGACAAGATTATTGCCGTTATCTCGTCAATTTAGGAGGGAACCACTCAGATTTTTATATATACATATGCCTTATCGATTTAGCCTATTAAATATCATTTGTGGACGTGAATTATAGTTTCATAGCTGGAAAAGTATGGTGAAATAATCATATCACATATCTATTATTCTAACTTAGACAAAAAACAATTTAAAATCACGAAAAAACGAAAGAAACAGACATGAATTTCCAAAATTTTATAAATGAGTGTAGGATGCATGGCATCCTTCTACCTTGAGTTATTGAATTAACACTTAAGATTGTTCATTCTAACACTATCGGACATTTTTCTATATAAACAAAGAAGGCCCAAAGCGTGCATTATTCTACACCAATGCACTCGCCGTTTTTATTATCTCCCTGTGTATTTTCACATTGAGGGCGCCATTTTGTTGGAAAAATCTGATAAATAAAAAACATTTTTTTGTCGAATTTTGTTGTGAAAACAATCTAGAATGAAAGAAAATTGTCTAACTAAGAAAGTGAATCCGAACACCAATATCTTTAATTCATTCGTTAATGCTGTACAGACGTTTAAAGTGTTGTTTACGTGACGTCACAATGTAGCGCTAAACAGCACGTGCAAAACAATCAAATCAAGTACGCTATTTTGATGTTTCTACACACGGTAGATTTAACGACAGTTTTTTTTTCCAACCCACTGAAACAGCCTTTAAAGAACGTTTCTATTGGATACTCTGAGGCGAAAACAAATTTAACCAATAAACATAAAATCCAACTTTATAATAATAGTTATATTTTTTCCTGACGTGTTAGAATGGAAATAGATATTAATTCTTCGTGCATTATTGTATAATAACGCACTTTTTTCGTTCAAATGCTTTGTAATTAATCACTCAGGCACTTCGGCCTTCGTGATTATATTACTACGCATTTAAACTATAAACCGTGCATTATTCTACAACAATGCACTCAGAATTGATATCTATTTCCTAATTAGGTCACTGAACTTAAGTGCCAAAGGTCAATTTCAAAGAAGAGACGCATACATGTCTCACTTGCAGTGACTTAGAATTGCCTTTAACCAAGATTCTTACAAAGTGCTATGTGTATAGAAGAACTTTTTGAAACCAAGTTCATCATAAAACATAAAATAATTTGTATAAAGTATTATGTAAATTAAGTTTACACACGTATAAACTAAGATTTATGAATGATATTGGTTAAAAAAGTGCGACAATCACCTTTTCTCTTTTCATCAGGGCTAATAATTATATAGAGGATATTTGTTTGTTTGTGTGTAAGAGGAAAATTTATTTCATCGATAGGGCTTCAAAAACAGTATTCTCAATACTGTTTTTAAAGTTTACGAGATAAAATCAAATAACATCTTATACAACAAACAAACACATTTTCTTTTATTTCATGCTTAAAAACAAGTTAAAACGAAATTTCCTTTATATAACCTTTAATATTAAAATCTGTTTTCCCCACTGGTAGCCTCTATTAGTCGAATTTCTCATAAAATACAAGAAGTCTTGGGCTGAAAAATAAGTTCGACATTCAACGTTTAATGGCGGTGATATTATTTATTTAATTAAAAAAATATGAATGATCGCTTGTTCTAATAATAAAAATTGTAGTAGAAGAAGAGTCACACCATCCGACCTTATTTCTGTTACTTACGGCGAATTTATATTAGAACTGGCTTTGTGAAATGTAAGCGGCAGCCATTTTTAAAAGTTGTGTATTTCACGGAAGGAAACTAATTGTGTTTGGTTCAGGAAAATTATTCAGATTTGTTAGTCATACATCTTTTTAGAAGAATGAAAACTTATTTGAGGATTGTTACAGACAATAAATTAGTGTTGACAGATGTGTATACACTCAAAAAGCGGCTAGGAAATGGGAAAACATGGAATTGTTGAACTGTTGAAAGGCTGCCTTACGAACGCTGGGTTGTTTACTTTTTTCTCCGGGCTAATGGCTGCCGGCCATTGCTTTTCATACTGCATTAGGAAGTTATTGCTCGTAGGATACTCAAATATGCCCAGATGTCTCCAAGAGCAGTTGCATGTGAAAGGAATTGTATTTTTCAGACTGTAAAAATGAAACAAAATTTAACAGACGATATTTGGTAATTGTTAATGTGAATGAAGTAAGTTTTCTTCTTTTTATTACTTTTGATATTCAAGTTATTTATCAAGTTTAGCTTTACGTTTCTCTAAACAACCTTGACAATGTCAAAATTGTCACCAAAAATAAAGTTGAAGTACCACACGGGGAAAACTTAAAAAGTAGTTTCGTCATTGAAAAGTGTGAAATTATATTTTGATAATTTCCACTGTGAAATTATCTAATATAATTTTCAAGGATAAATCAGTAATCCACTGAAAAGCATAAAATAAATCTTAAATCTAAATTTTTCCATCGTTTTTTCATATTTTGTCGGATCTACCGTTCTTTGAAAAGCGTTTAAATTTATCTGCTGTAGAATATAAAGTTTACCTTTAAGGGCCATGGGCTCTTGTTTCATACTCTAGACTCTTTTTGGTAAATGACGTAGATTGTAAGTGTCATTTGCAATCTTTGTCCACTTCACAATATTTTACTTTTAAATAAATTTTGAAAATTTTCATGAATATAAGCATGAACCTGGAGGCATGCTGCTTTAGAATAAAAAAAAATACCTTATTCAAAACAGCCGCACTGGAGTATCCATATAGCCTAAAATGTCAATCAGCTGCAAAGCAACTGAGAGTTCTGGTAACTCCAACATATTTTTCTTTAAGTATAATTTTTGTACCTTTCAAATTAGTTTTAGATGCTAGTAGAAAACATCATCAAATTTAATTATGAAATTATTAAGAGGTTGCCATCAAGCGATAATGGCCAGAAGATGTGCATAATGACCTGAGGGCGGCAGTCCCGAAAGTAAATATGGATTCGACGACCTTAGATAATAAGAAATGCCCCTGAAAAGATTGCTTAAGTACTGCAGAAAGGTATTATGGAAAGAAAAGACAATAAACCTAGTAACCTACTTAATATTGTTTTTGTGAAATGAAATGCTATTCATACCAAACTTACCATCTTGACCTTGAAGGTAGGAACATTGGTCTTGGACGCGACACATAATCTTGATATTGTAGAAATTCATGCCAAGTTATTTTAAAATCCTTCAATGGATGACAAAAATCTGGAGAAAGTGTGATCCCTCGGAAGCATTAAACTCAACAAATTACATGAAAATTAAAGACTCGGTTTGATTGAGTCTGTACATGAAAGATAATGAAAATGTGCAACATCCCTCATTTTTCATGGTACCGGCTTGAGCGGTTCTCAGTTTTTCAACACTTATGGGGGCATAAAATTCCTGCACGTCGGTGTAGGTCTGTTCAAATATTTTTTAAATTTTGATTGGCAGAAATTCCCGTACTCCAACCTCTCCAATGTTACCATAAAACCCACAGTGCTCTTACTTCTCACGTGTTTTCTGACAACAAGACTTTTGTTCTTAATTTCTAGTAACAGATTGCAAAATGAAACGATATTTAAATTATTCTTTTTTATAAATTTGGCTTTTTGTGACAATTAATAGTTTATCCAGTGACAGAAGCTTACTGACTTAAAACAAACTTTGGGTCCTGTTATGATGTGTTTAAAGTCAAACAGCGGTTTTAAAGAAAGTGTATACATATATATCATGTATCTCTACATTATATGCAAAAGTCGT